GATGTATAGATGGTATAAATTTCAATTGCTCAGTAAGATATTTGTTCGTATTTTATTTTTTCAATACGATTATCTTCATTAGAATAGAGCTTTTTGAGTATTTTTGACTTATCCATTGTATGTTTAGTTAAATGCGCACAAGATAATGTAAAATATATATTATTTGAATATTTATAAAACATTTAGTAAGACTTATAGTTGTTAAATACAATCCATTGACATTTTAATTATTCTACTTTATATCGATCACCATTTGATTTTCTAATAGTTATATCTTTTTCGAAAAGTAAAGTGGAAACAATTGTCTTAAGTATTTTTTATTGCCTTGGAGGATTTTTTTTCCGAGCATATCAAATTATTTTAATCTAATTATTAGAAACATATATTACAAGATGATACTTTTCTGTTTTTTAATAACTTTAAAATCTCTATCGCAAGATAAGTAGGAGTTTTCAGACACTAAAAATGTATGATGTATTTCTATGGAAGGCAAATGGTCAGAACATATAATAAAATTATAGATTAAAGCCATTTTAATGTTACTATTCTTTCCATTACATTGGTCGCTATACATTAAAAGTTTTTTGTACCTATTTATATAATTCTTTACAAAATGTAAAATACAAGATCTGATTTTGAGGCTATGTACTTTCCCTATACATACACTTAAGTATAATTTCTACTTAAATTGTGTATACCTAAATTATAGTTTTACAATTACCTTTTGTAGTAAGCTATACCAATATATAAGGCTAGAGTTGCAAGAGTTTTTGTGAAACCGAAATCAACATTTATTATTTTATATTACCATATGTTTATTTTAACTAACTGTGTATTAAAAACTATTCCATGACGAGCAGCTTCAAATTTTCTCAGATGGATTTCATGTTTTACATTTAATTTGACTTTATATCTTGTTTATATATTTTATTTAAGTAATAAAAATGCCACATTTTTTTGTAACTGTTAGAAAATAAAGGATAAAATGAGAAATTAAAATCTCTGTCGAAGATTTGGTTTGAAAAAATATTAATTTAAAATTGGATCATTGTGTTTTTGTTTTACAGATTATACAATATTGAGTATATATATATATATATATATATAGTATTTAAACGTCAAAATAGGAACTTAAATAATTCTATCTCAAATATTATTTCTAGAATAATTAAATGTAGATGTATATGTAGAACATTTTTAATACAATTTATAACTTCAATACGCTTTTTATTTTATACTTAATTTACAGTAGCACCTCAATTACATTTCAAATTACACTGTAGATATTTTGTACAACATTAAAGTAATACAAATAACGATGGCAATGTGGCATTTATCCATTATTACGTTTTATCAAAGATATTATAACGGTCTATTAAAAATGTTTTAAAATTTGATTACGATATTGGCCTAATCGACAGTAATTTAAAATATAAACCAGTGTTACAATTATAATAAAAACAAAAATGACTACGTATAAGCAATAGTGCTGCTATCTAGGAGAATAGAAATAAATAAAATAGGTCGATCTTGCTTTTACATTTTTTAAAAAATTATTTTGAACAACGTGTCTATACAGTTACTTCGTTTTTTAAATTATTTTCATTAAATCGCTTTTGTGTCTTATATAATATAAGGTTTACATAATTTATAAAAAAAAAAAAAACTGCTTGATACAATGTTAAATTATGGTTCTAAGTCTTAAAAATTAAATAATAAATTTGTATCTACTTTCAATTTTAGTGTAATGGGAAGTATGCATAGGTATATTACTTCATATTATGTGATTTCACAAAAAGAATATTTGTTACAAGATGCAGTGATTTTTTTTTTTTTTTTTTTGTATTATTATTATTGTCTCATTAAGCAAACGTTCAATAATAGGCATGTTTCAAATTCGTTCTTTACAATGATTAACTGTTATTCGTATTATCTAAACGCATTATACAACATAAAAAATAAAATAAACTTTCAAATGGACCAAATTTGAAAGGACAAAGAACAATATTTTGGACGATTGTTCACTGTAGCCATAAATCATGAGTGTACACATAATATTTCGTCACTAGAAAACATTCGTGTAAAGCTTAAGAAAAAGAAAAAAAAAACGAAAGATGGTGAAAGTGTTGTGCAAATGGAATAAGTGTCAAATAAAAGTTTTCTGAGACCATAAATCATTCTAACCTAAACCCATAGTGTTGTATTGTGCATATAATTGTTTAAAACATAGAAAAATGAAAGCTTATTTAAATCCTTAATATTATTGATCATTTGTATAAGTAGAATATAATAATATTTTTTTTATACAAAAAGTTATATAAATACGTATTTAATGATTCTAATTGAATTGACAAGATATGATAGATAATATTTGAGAATAAAATTAGCGTCAAATTAAATATATTAACTAAAGCAGTCATGGAAATTTGGTTTATAGTTAGAAAAATGTTTAAGTAAATAATTTTATTTACTACAAAGCGTGATTTTGTTTTATTCAAAAGTTTTTAAAAATTTAATCATGATATAAAATACCTTATTTTCACAATTTTTCTAATATACCAAGATATTACGATATTACTTAAATTAGTAAAATTAGTTATAACCAATGAATGCCATAAATCATTATATAGTAACATATTATAACATAATTAAGGTCAAAAAAAAAAAAAAAAATTAGGTGAAACTCGATTATAAAACGTAAACATTAATGTTGTTTATTAGTGTAATAAAAATAGATAAGATTATATTTAAGAGAAATTGAACGAAAAGAAAAAAAAATATTAGATAGTATTTTTTAACAAAGAGTTCATTTAGAAGTTAGAACAAAGAAAAAGAGTTTAATAAATTGGCTGAATAATGCGTTTAAAGTAGAAATTAATTGGAAAAAAATACCAGAAATGTGATCAGTGGGTGAGTTTTGATTACTGCAGCTTCTGTATAGATTTTGGTATAGGATTGAGTAACACGATTAGAAACTTAAATTGATTGAACCTTTGGAGAATGTTTTTTAATATTTTTTTTCTGGTTATTGGTCATTCTCTGGAGTTGCGTGTGTAAAATATGAGACTTTTACGATCTTTGAAAAACAATTTTATTTTTTTACTATGGAAGCTCTTAGGTACATACTTTTTATAACATTTAATATAAAATCGCATATAAATTAATAGGTTTAATTTTATACCATTTGATTCATATCATACAATATTTACAATTATTGTAATCGAATTGGGTTAAAAATGTATCTATGTAATATGTATGTATGTATTTAGATGCTTTATGAAATACACATATTCATTAGTTAATATAAAGTAAATACATATCTTGAATTACTTCAAAATTAAAATGTTTAATTTTAAAACTACATTAAAAACGGTTTGTTAAGTTATTAATAATACATTTGTTGTGTTGATACAAACATTTTGGATTGAATCTTCAAAGCTTACATTGCTTAGACTAAATCTTAAAACTTAGGTTAATTTTAGTATGTAGACATTAAATTAGTCCATTGTAAATTTAAAAGACAGCTAGTTTCATCTTCCATAAAACTTAATCTCTATTAATGCAAATATTTTTATTTTATCCCGTCATTTTCAGTAGTTATAATTTCATATTTGAGCTAAATTTTAAATTATTTAATTATGCAATGAATAACTCGTGGCGGTTTGTTTTGCCATTTGTAAACAAATTAATCGTATTTTCGTGATTCATTAAAAATACTTTTGTTACTTTTAAATTAGGTTATACATCCTATAGAAGAATATAATTATAAATAGCCGGTATTGTGTAATTAATAACACTACAAAAACGATCATCGTTTTGTATTCATCGTGTTACTTAAAAAGTTGTTTCTTTGTTACGTATATACAAATTTTGTTTATAGTTTCATAACTGTATTCAGATTTAAAATAGCTGGTCTGTAAATACATTTCGAACAAATATATTATAATCGATATTTATGAAATACTGAAACGTTATTTGTATAGTTTTCAAAATAATGGATATTAAGTGTACATTAAATACCTCTAATATGCATAATTTAAACATGTGAGTTAAAAAATATTATAATTGTTTGAATTTAATAAACAATTTTCCTTTCTCAGATTATAACTGCCTGTACTTATTTTAGATTTGTTATGAGCGATTTATACGTTGAGAGTATTTCCAGCAATATAATTATTCAGAAATATGTATTTGAATATTTTCGCATGGTTCACTTAAAAAATTGTATTACTTATCGTGAAAACTAATAAGTTTTTTTTACACATGTCTTTAGTTTTAACACAATAATTTAACCACCAGCGCTTTAAAACCTATACAACTGTACTTGTTCCAAAACGTATAAACATATTTCGACTGTAAAAGCAATATTTTAATGTAACGTATGGTACTATTATGAGCTATATTTGAACAAAATATATCATCTCTCTGTTAATATGCCGATATATACCTACATTCATATATTTTTACGCTTATTTGTAATGAGTTTTTCAATGTTTTAACCATTAGATGGTACGTATATTAAATCACTGATTTTTTTTTTCACCTAAATATATTATACGGTAAACGTACTCACAATAAACAATACTGTATTAAGTTCATCGATAAAGAAACAATGGAGAAATAGAAGAAGGCTATTAGAAAAATCAATCACGTAGGCAGTTCATAGTAATCCCGTACCGGAATATTAAACAATCACACTCCTTGTTTCTTCTATTCCTTTTAATTAAACATTTGATTTTGTCTCTGCCTAAATCAGGTGGACATTACTTACTTTCTGCGCATAATATAAGTGAAAAGCGCGTATTATAATAATTTATTTTACGATAATACAAAGCTAATTAAATTATTCTTCTTGAAAAAATTGGGTCATCCTTTCTATAAAATAATACAAAAAGGATGAGATTTCAGAACCCCTTACCTTCCCTATGGTACTCTATAACATTTGTACGACGTTCACAGGTATGAAATGCTTATAATTATTTTTGTTCTGTTTTCTCCAGAGATAATAATGCCGACAACCGTTCCACCAACTACGTCCACAACAACCGCCGCCACAACGACCACGACCACAACGACGTTACCATCTACCACAAGAATGGTTCCTCCCTCGACAGGTAAATTATTTTATTTCATTGTGTATTACTATACGTTAGGTGTTACAAACATATTCGAGTATGTAATGATAATTATATAAATAAATGTCATGTATATAATGATATGGATGGAATGATATGTTTAGTATGTGTTGAAAAGACAAGTAGTATCGCCAAATTTAATTTCTGAATTTTAACCTATTAAACTGATACACTCCTATAGTTTCTAAACTTTTAGAACCCTTATCTACAAAAATCTATGATAGGTTAAAAAATATAAAGTACCTATTTACAGATATGATTTTTCTCAATTTGTTTTCATAAATAAAAATTTAACATTCAAAATAAGCCTTTTAAACTATTTCATTTTTTACTTTTTTTTTTAAACAATAGCATCTACTTCCAATTTTTATTAGAAAATTATTATTATCAACACCAAATTCACTTTTGGATATAATATGTGTAATTATGCTTGAAAAATAGTCAATATATCATTCTTAATATTTTAAATAGCCTAAAAAATATCTATTTTTTGTCGGCCGATAAATAAATACATACTATGTGTTAATTTATTAATATGGAATATAATTAAAGTTTAATTATCGTTGATAACATTGATAGAGAATCATTTCAAAAATACATAAAAATTAAAATTATATTATGTATTGTTTACTCTCATCACGTTATCTTATTAAATTATAATCAAAATATTATATTATTTGTTATTTCATTAAATAATTTAAATAATATTGTATTGGTATATTGGAAGAAAAAATATTTTTGAAGATTTTTTGTAAAATATTTAATTTAATATCGCCTTCTATACTTTCTAAATTTATAGGATTAAATAACAAATGCAAAATAAACAATTAAATATACCCATCACTGAAAGTATTTTAAATTAGAGTATGAAATCATTTAAAGTATGATAAACAATAATTAATTATTAATTATTAATTATCTTCAAAAGTTTTTTTTTTTTATCTGAGTAAAAAAAATATGAAAATGTAATTCTACTGTGGTACTATTTTTTTTTTTTTTTTTGTACTTTAGAATTTTTCATTTTAAAGTTGTTTAAAAATGCAATAAAGAACATTTTAACTGAATTCTCGTGAAAATTTTACTGTAATTCAAATTAAAATAAGACATCATTCACAAACGATATCTTGTAGCTTGTAAATTTAACGATAAATTCATTTATAACATTCTATTGATGGTACATCCTTCATTGTTACAACTATAAATTATATAGTACTATGTTCAATGTGTATTCTATAATTTATTTGGTTTTGGAAACAAAAAAAATAAAAATTGTAATTTGTATGAACAAAAAAAAAAAATTCATTGATTTTTAATTAGACTGATTGGTGTTATGAATAATATTATATTAAATTATTATTTATATAAAATACAATCAATTATGACGAAAAAATCATAATAATAAATTCTCCTCAATTTCGTTTCAATGTAAAGAATTTTAATTTATTAATACACTTCAAAAAATTACTAAAACAAAATGTTTGAGATATAAATAGGTGTAGTTCGTATTATTTTAAAAATAAAATTACAAATCAATTTTATATTTAAATCATATTATGGTTGTTTATCACTCATTTATTTTATATTTATTTAATATTTATTCCATGTAGGATATTATTTTTTTTTAATAAATAACATTTGTTATTCTTATTACAAAAAAAACATTAATACATTTATATTTTTTTTAAGTATACTTTATTTTAAAATTTCAGTCTCTGATCTTTATATTATGTTGTTTTGATAAAATAATAAATGCTATCATTGGTAGAAAAATTAAACAACACAATAAAACTTTAAAAATAACCATTTACCTTGCTATTTATTAGTGATCGGACAAAAAAAAAAAAAAAATAAACATTATTAATCAATAAAAACCTACATTTTTAAACATATTAATATAACAGAAAATATAATATAATATTATGAGTGTAAAGTTATATTACTAAAATATGTAACATAATTTTTTTATCAGGCTATATTAAACATGTTTTTTTATATAACATATACTAATCTAAATAAAATATAATTATTTAAATATGTTTTCAATAATTTTTAATGTAGCTAAAATTTTTATGGAATATATAGATACATTAACATACACTAACCTAGTAAAACAATTCTTGTCACATCTCGTCTATAAGTCTTTTGTTTTAAGCCTTTGAATCTTAAGCAACATTTATTAATTTTTTATTTTAATATTTGATTGGTGTAAATTGACTTAAAAGTAATATCTTAATTCATTTTTAGCAAAAAGTGCTAATTATAAAATCATATTTTACAGGATTATTCCTATAATTTTTAAATAGTTTTAAAAAGATAAATTAATGTTATTAACTAGATATACAAAATAATATAAGAAAAATAATTAAATCTTTGGGGCAACTTAGTTTTGGGATTTTTCAAACAGAACTATGAAAGTATTTATTCAAAACTACTAACTATCTATAACTATCTATGAGTTAATTAACGATTTGATAATTTGTTTTTATTTTTTTTTTTTAGTGATACCATCACCAGCAACGAAAAGGAAGAGTCATGTAATACCTGGTAAAGTTAAACTATAAATATTTAAGCAATAATTATTTCTTAAATTATAAAATTGATTAAATGGCAAGTATAATTATTTTTAGTTGATTAAAGCAAACTTTTTTTTATTGAAACATCAAAGAAATTACTAAACAACATTGTCATGTATATATTTAAATGTAGATTATAATTTATTCAACTCCTTACGGTTGATTAAAATTTCTTACAAATTATTCAATGATTTAATATTAAAAAATACGTGCATAATTATAACATGTTTTAATTAAATTAATTAAATTGTTTAAAACATAGCTATTTCCTTATCTTAGTTATTATAAATTAATATTTTCAATATTTTGAAAATCATAATACATAAGTACATAACATTCCCGTATATATTTTAATCGTAATAGTAAATATTATCAAAGATATATGGTAAATTACTTAGTATAAACTATAGACTATAGTACATTTAAGATGTATAATGTAATCACGTTATTTAGTAAATCAATGTAATACATATTTAAAGTTTTGAATTTGATGAAAAATATAATTAAATACAAAAAATAGCTCGAAATAAATAAGACTGGCAGATATACGTTGATTTTTAAAAATACTTAGTTTATTGTATTTTATTTTTTTCTATAATCGTTATTTTATCAATTTGGTAGCTTTAACTAATTAAAACCAAAAACTTATTTTATCACATCAACAAGAAATATATTGATTGCGGTGTACCATGGATGTATACGTTTATTAATAGCTTGAATTTAATCTAAATATTTTGAAAATATCATTGTGTATAGAAAATAATGATGATATACTTAATAATTAATTTGTTTTGAATTAAAGCAAAATAACTAGAATCTTTAATAAGAAATCTTAATTTTATTTCTAAATATACTATTTATTATTTTTTTTTTTTCTTATAAAAGTTTTTTTTTTTTTTTATTTATTTTAAAACAATTTATATTTACAATCTGTATTTACAAGTTATATAATGAGTAAATTTGATGGTTTTTATAATGGTGGGAAGAGGAAGTCGCCCAGTAGTGACACCCCGAAGGAAAATGTTTTAGGGAGAGAGTAAGTCCCTACACCAGTTCCTTTTGAGGCGCCTGGGTGGGTTTCCTGGAATTTGTTTAGATGAAAGGTTAGTGATTATAGGATTTGTGTGAGTATTAAAAGTTTTGTGTGTTTTTTTGTAAGCGAATGAAGCAAGATTGTTTAATGTTTGAATGCAAATGTCTTTGTGTAGTAAGTCATTGGTAATGTACCAAGGAGCGCCTGTTATTAATTGTAGACAAATGGATTGGAAAGCCTGAATTGTTCTGGTGTTGGACGATTTCACTGAGCCCCAAAATTGGATACCATAGTACCAGATGGGTCTTAGAAGAGCCATGTAAATTGTGCGTTTTGTTTTGAGGGAGAGCTTGGAGCGGAGTAGAGATCTGAGAAGGTGAAGTCTCGAGTTGAGAGCTTTGCGTTTGTTTTTTAAATGAGGAGCCCAAGTGAGGCGTTTGTCAAGCGTTAGACCCAGGTATTTAGTTTATTTGGAAGAAGGTATTTGTGTATTATCGATAAACGTTGGAGGGAATTCCAAGGAGCGTAGGGTGAAGGTGACTTGCGAGGATCTTGCTGGGTTTACGTTGATTTTCTAGTTGTAAAACCAAATGTTTAGCTCAGATAAGTGGTTTTGAATTTTTTGAGTGGCTTGGATAAGATCGTTGTCGATAGTGAGAATAGCAATTTCGTCCGCATATGTACCTAGTAGAGTGTTTGGATTTAAAGATAAATCACTGGTAAAGACATTGAAAATGAAAGGGGCTATATCGTTGCCTTGGGGAACAACTGCTGTCGATATTTGGGGTTGGGAAAGGACACCGTTAATTTTTGTGACGAATGTTCTTTGGTTTAGGTAAGTCTATTTTATTAGGATTTAAACATTTAAGAAAAAAAAAAACGAACTGCAATTTTATGTATATATTTTTCTACTGTAAGAAAGTATATGCGATATTTTGTGTTTATTGAATTTTCTAGGTTTTTGTCATAAAACTATACCAATAAAAATTTAAAAGTCAAATGTTTAAATTGTTTCTAAGTAACTCAAAATAGCTATCAAGTTTTTAAAATTATAATAATTCTGATCTATACCCATCATATTATACTTTAATTGCGTCGGTAACTATATAGGTTAAAAATTGTACAACTAGGTATGTATGTAAATGTTATACCCACGTTTAGAAGCTATAGTATTCACGGAAGAACACCTATGTATTTCAATTTTGGCATTGTGGCCTATTCTTCTCGTGGCAATATGCCTACAACATAATTTCAATTAAGAGACGAGTATCTCAACAATCTTCTGTATTGCCATATCCTGTAGCTTATTATATAATCCTCGTAGAATAAAACCATATTCAAATATAAACAATAATCATCGTAAATAAACATGTAGTGTATTTTTAATTTATGAAAAACTTAGTAACTTTGTGAATAAATATATGTAGTATATGTTAATTTTAAATTTATACTTATACATACCTATATTAAATTGATTTGATAAAAATAAATGACACGCACATAATAGCTTTTATTTTGTTTAATGTCCGTGGATAACAGAACAGCATGTAATTTTCTTAACTAGTAAATTATTTTGAACCAAGGTATTCATTTTTAATATGAATATATATATATATATATTATATGATATAAATTATTGTTTTAAAAATATTATTAACGTATTAAACTGAAAAATATAAAAGCCAACCATTATCTAAAGGTTTATAATATATTATATAAATAACAATAAATATTATTACACCTAAAAATGACTGCTTTTATGCCTTACACGATATAATTTTATAAACGTAAAAGGTACTATTATATATTTTATACATAAAGACGAACAGAGACGATCTGGTTTAAATCATAGAAACTTTGGCTACTCACCCAACAAAATATTTTATCATGTGGTTTTTTTTTTTTTTTTTGTTTAATGTATAAAGCATACTGCGGATGAGGTTTTAAGTATATTTATTTATAGTCTTTACTTATGTCCCCGAATAATTGAGAAATTATATATATTAATTATAAACCTATGATGGTTTCTATTTTAAACAAAATAAAATCTAAAAAATTGACTTTTTTATTTTACCAAGACTAACAAAAATTATTTAACATACATACGTAACATATATTCTATCACATCAAACTATTTTAATATATATAATTTTATATTTCACTTTGATTTTACGATAAATCAAAAGTTATTTGTGATTATTTAATTATATATTTTATAGTGTGTTTTTAATTTTATTTGATTACATTTTATTTTACCTGTTGATATTCTTTATGAAGAACGTTTTATATTTTTGGTGTTCAAAATGTTTTAAATTTATTTGTTTTTTACATAATATATTATATTTTTTTTCGTATGATTTTGCGTTGTAAGATAACTCATGGAGATTTCCGATTTTCCGAAGAAAATACAAATCGTCTTATTATTATGTCCCTAACTATGTGTGATGAGGAATAATTGTACGAGTAAAATCCCATTTCATTAACATTTCCATTCAAAGAGAAATCCAAACACACACACTTTAGTTAAAGTTTCTAGCATACACTCTCATACCCTATACATACACTAATATGAGTTCATGACCTTGTAATAATATTCACCACACTACGATGATCGGCCTCGGATTTAGATTTGGTTACATGCGTTCGATCATGCTCTGATGGCATACAATACTATGTTATACACGGGTATCTATATAGGAGAATGGAATTTTCATTAATTCCGTCTCCCGCCTGTCTGTCGTTGGCGGTGGATGAAGAGTGTAATATAGAGTGTTTCACATCATGTTCTACCCTTTTAGCTAAACGTAGTTCAAAACATTAGATATAGTATTAGTAATGATAATCTGAAAACTGTTTTGATTCGTATACAATCAGTAAATTGTTTATTTCGAGGTTCGTAAACATACTTTCACAACCTTTGCCTACCGATTTTATCACAAACGTTGTCGTTTAACTTTTTTCTAATGTATATATATATTTATAATACAATCTTTGTTGTATTACTAATATTATTCTAAAACGTCTAACAACATTATGGTCTTCCGTAATAGTATGATTGTCGCAATGTATGGTAATAACAATAGCAGTATTGGTGGCGATGACGTTTCGCCAAAATTGCATTCCTTAAGTATTTCTCGCCCCCATATTATCGTGTCAAAAGGATTTTTATTTAAATCGCATAGAGCCATCGTAGTCGAAGGAGAACGAAATAATAATAAAAATAACATACGCATATAATGTAAAATATTCACGTTTTTACTTCTTGTTCTTGCAATACAAGATGTTCAAACAGGGCAAAAAATTATGAACGTGTCTAAATTTAATCGAAACAGAATAGAAAAATTAAAATGTTTTGTAACAAGCTATATTTTAAATCTATGATGCTACTTTTAAAACGAATTTTTAAATTTATTTTAGCTTACATAAAAATTCTTTCAAATTAATATAATATATGATATACGCAATCACGTATTTGTACACATATTATATTCTATTTTTTTACTGTTTTAAAGCCCATTTTAAGTATACGATTAAATTGAGCTTAAAACTAGACAGTTATAGTTCTTTCTTAGTGGAATAAGCAGTATCTCTTATAATCCAATTATTGGAAAAACTCATTTTTCCAATTTTTTTTGTATTTCACTATAAAATCGTTATTTTAGCAAATTTTTTTTCATTTATTATTAGTCATAGGCATTTTTAATTTTTTTTTTAATTTTTTTTACCTTATTTGTTACCTTCATTACAATTTTTTTTTTTTTTTTAATAGAATAGACAGTAAAATTTACATAACTATTGGACGTAATTCGAAATTGCACACTTACCATTCACAACTACACATTTTAGATCCGTCCAATACTATAAACAATTTTTTTTTTTTTTTTTGTTAAAAAGATCAAATGAAGGTCAATAATTTAAAACAGCAATTACTTGATTGACAATTTTAAAATTAAACATTTGTTGGCAGCAAACAAATTTTCATAAAAATTATTCAATGTATGATGAATAACAATTTTAATTTTAATCAAAAATTATATTTAAAAATAATTCAGTATCCGAGTATAAAACATAAAGAAAAGAATTTAAAATTGATAATACTTAGATTGAGATAATTTTAGAATCATTGGTAATGATTTTGTAATTTTGATTTAATATACTTTTATGGAGTGCAATTCTAAACGATAATGTGATTTTAGATAAATACTTGTGTAATTGATGTAAATATTATTATATCAGTTTGTGCGGTATTGAACGGTTTGATTTTAAGAAAACTGTGTGGAATTAAACGACAAATTTTTTTATGAAAATGTATGATTATTATTAACGTCAGAATTGTTCTATGACATAGAAAACAATTAATCTTCTATAGTATAATAATAATATAGTGCAAACATAATGATGTGGAATACGGGCACCGGAAGAATCTTATTATGTGTCGGAGGACGCCAAATGGCTACTGGTACTGCCACTGAACATCTATTATCTTAAGATTTTCATTTCCGGAAAGCAAGGAATTGCATGTATAAAGAATATTTATTATTAATTGGTCTAATTCTGTGACAGGTGTTCCATCATACTATTTTTGTGGTTCGATTAAAAAATAATAATATATTTTAAATTCTTAGCAGCATAATAAATTTAATTGTATGTGGATTGATGTGTCTGACAACATGTTTTGGAGCTGTTACGCTTTAAACAAAAAAAGGATTTTTTGGTAGAAAACTAGGTTCTATTACCTATTTTAGATTTTTAAGTTAAGTAAAATAATTAAACATATATAAATTAAAAATGAACAAAAAAAAAATAATTGAGAAAAATCATAATATTTACAATATCGCAGTATTGAAAAGAAGTTGTTTTCTTTATTCAAGAAAAAAAAAATATACACTTTAAATTTTAACAAAGTATTTAAATTAACTATTCCTTGACGTAAAAATAGACATTTCAAAATAATAAATATATATTTAAGTTATTTATAGACATTTTATATTATTATTATTCATTCAAAAGTCTTAATAAACTTAAATTATATTTTCTCATAAATTTTTTCTATAAGACTACTCATACATTTTAAAAAATAATAAAAATTGTTTTTTTTATAAGTGTTAGAAGTCTTAAACTTTAAAATTTAAAAAAATATTGTCAATATGTCATTAAAGATTTAATGAAATTAAATATTTAAACAATAGATAAAAAACTTTGCTTTAAATGCTACTAGATAATTTGTTGCAATTCAAAAAAGACACTTTAGTTTTTAATATTAGGTTCATGATAATTTTTTTAACACAATTACATTTTCAAGTAATTTGGAACAATTTTAAATTTTTTATAATAATAAAATTGTATTCCATGCTATTTTATAGAACTTCAGTATTGTATAAATTATAAAGCGATCTGTATAAAAACTAATATTGCCTACTGAATTAAGAAAAAAAAAGTTAAATCATAGTATTATGAGAATATTTTATAGAAAAAGATTCTGATTTATCCGCTAGCTTTGCTCTAAACCTTATATGCGTTTAAAATAGTTTATTATTGAAATCAAATTTAACACATTTACCGCCTCAAATTCAAAGTTGAAATTATTTACACTTGAAACTTACTGTACAGCAAAAGCTAATACCTCAGTTTTATTCTCGCTGTTCAACTTATCAAAAACCATATAATACTCCTACTTAAATTAGAATATAATATAATAATATGATTAGGTAGTTAGTAAGTTTAAACAACATAACAATATATAAGTATCATAACTAATGAACGACAATAATTAATTTACCTAAAATATAGTGATTAATTTGTTCATTTTTTATAAATATTAAATATTTTGTAAATAAATACACAAATCATATAGTAATTATAGAAATTTGTAATTATTTTCGTAGTTAAAATAAAATAACTCATTTCTATACTTATATTTCAATGAATAGGTACTATAAATATTTCATTAATACATTAAGACAGTGTGAAGTGTTATCACAGTACGATATTCTAAATAACTCGTTTCGCTCTATCCGCCTTCCATTACTTTACAATAATTTAAACATAGTTTTTTTTTTTTTTTCTACAAAAATATAGAAATTTAAACATATTGTAACAAATACATTATTTGTTTAAAATATCAATCACAATACTTAAATGTATAATTATTATTAGTGCGTTATTAACGTAGATATGTAATTTTTTGTTCCTTTTTTCCAGGTGACCGAAAATCTGGTGGAAAAACAGACGACAAGACTGGTCTACGGATAAACGGCGTCGAGTCGGCGGGTGAAATGGAAACTAAAAGCAGTAGCCACCGGGCAAGCCGTGGTTCAAGTCGGGTCCGCCAGTCAACGATCAGCCAATCAGTGAGCATCATGGCTGAGCTGGCATTTCTGACAGCCGCCACAACCAGCTGGTCGACTGGTTGTCCAGTAGACGCCGCCGTAGGTGGCCTCGTATCACTGGCGCTAGCTGTTTCGCCGCCACTGGTCCTGTGGCTTCTGAACTGAATCCTGCGAGGAGTTCTACACAAGTGAAAATAATCACACACGTCAGAGGCGTACAAGGGATATAAGTTGAAAGAAATTCAATTGAATTTCATGTAATTAAGTTTTTGTAATTTTTTTTTTTTTTTTTGTTTTTTTTATCATCTCCCCTAAACCATAGAAAAGTACTATGTATTACATCACTCACCACTTAACCGACTTAATCACATTCATGTGATCTCTGAATACTTACATACACGGTATGTGTTGTTACCGTTGACCCACCCACAAACCAACCAATAATAATGATACTAATTAAATTTCACTGCGGTTTTATTTGGGCACGTAATTGAAAACCAAAATAACGTGATGATCGACACGTATATACAAAATTAATCTAATATTCTATTTAACATAATCGAATAACTATCACTTCCGTTTAAAGAACATTATTAATTTATATAACATTCGCTATTTTGATTAATATATTGCAATCAGACAAATTTCTAAAACTGTTGATTTGTTGTGATTACAATTGTTCAATTTTAAAATATATTTATACTCGTATCAACATAACTGATTTTTAATATTCATAACTAATGAATAATTAATCTCGCGTATAGTTATTTTGTCAATTTCAAACAAATTCATATAATACGAGTGAAATCGCTTTCTTGATTATTTTTAATAAGCTTTTTGAAAACTTGACGTTCAATCTAAGGATAATAAAATACGAAAATGGTTATTTTATAACGTATATCCAAGATAATTTGTTACAGACTAATTGGTTACGCATTTTATCTTATTAAAACTGAAACCTTGTCAACAATTTATCGATGTAAGTACTGATTTAGTAACTATGAAAACTTGTAAATATTGTTCGTTAAACAAACAAAACTTTTTTTTTTTTTATGTTATTGGAACAAATAAATTTTTAAGTGACCCAGTTATTTATTTTTTTTTGTATGTTTCATCATATTTTCTGATTAATTACAACAATTCAATATAAACCTTTGATAAATCTAACAAAACCTTACGCGCAATTAATGTCTGTAAAGATTTAAAATAAAACTGCTCAAATGTAATCGTAAAAATTGTTCATTTAATGACACGGTCCTTAACCGAATAACATAATTTTGTTTCATAATTACACCGAATTGTTTTGCATTCGTTTTCCATTCCTTAACAACACTTTTACTGAAAATCTTAAATGTTCATCAAAAGTTTTCCTTAACGTTGGATATAAATATCTTAGAAAATTTTCAAATATTTAATTTGTTATCCTCTGGAATTTTTATGATGTACAAAAATATTAAGTTAAGAACTGTACCATGTGTAAATACCATATCAATGTTATACCTGTATTGTTTTACTTAGCTGAAAGATTACTAACAATAATTACAATATGTAAATTGAGTATAATTTTTAATACTCGATTTATTTTAAAATTTCACTTAATAAATAAATAATAAATAAAACTATGTTGTTAATAATAATAATAATAATAATAATAATATTAATGTAATAGTATTAGTAATTCAGTGGAATATGTTATATTACATGATGTGTATAAAAAATTGTTCTAGACGTAATATTATATGTGTTATTTTTTTTAAATATAAATAAATATACTCGTTGATTTATAGATATACAAATTTAATTTCAACAAAATTAAAAGTTATCTGGCATAACTAATAGACCATTTATTTAAAATATTTGGTCCGCCAACTATATATTATCAACTTTTAATGTGAAGTATAGAACAGTAGTGTTCTAAAAATATAATCCAAAAATTATCTAGATATAACAGTTAATTCAAAAATTGCATTTATAAAACACCAGTTTTTGCTGTCGGTGTTTACAGAAGATAAATAGTATAGCATTGTATAAGACACACGCAATATTTATATATATATATATATATATATAATATATATTTATATATATATAATAACATAAAATTAAAATCAAATTAATAAGCTATTTGTTGTACTAGTTTAGATAAATTAACACATCCCCATAATAATGAATAAAATTGAAAATTTTGTTATGAAACATTCTAGATAATTTATTTTACATAATGGTTGTATTTAAATAAATAAAATTATAATTAAAATCATTTTATCTGGTTAATAATATTATAAAAAGATAAATATTTTTAGTTATAATGCAATTAATCAAATATAATAATAATATATTTAAATTTCATAAATTGTTTTTCAAACGAATTTAATAAACAGGGTTATTTATCAAGTATACTCATACTTTTTTTATTCTTTAATAACTGTTACATTAGACTATTATTATTGTTTAATCAGTCGCTTGTATTAGTATAGCATAATATACAGCGTTCAATAATGATTCTTATTTTATTCAAAGATAACCCCACACTTTTTTCTGTTAATTTTTAGTCAGTTTAAAAAACAAATATTTAATTGATGCGTTGTAACTTGTACGATTCTAGTTAAAAAAAAAAAAAAAAATTAAAAAAACTAGTTATTATTTAATATTTAATAATATATTATTATATAAAGTATGACGGCGTGTTATGTAGGCAATTTTGCTACATAGGCGTGTATTTAACTTATAGTACCTGCCACTAATTCATTAAAATATTAATGTATTACAGCATTTATGTGCATCACGAACATTGTAAACGTAATTATTTGACTAGGTACGTTTGATAGAAGACGTTACAGTATCTTTTAATTATTAGCAAAATTTAATTGAGGAATTTTTAAATTTTTAAAATACGACTTAATTAGTTGTACCACGTATAGTGAGTAGTCAGAAAAAATAGTTGGTAGGTAAGTAAATACTCAATGTAAAAATTTAATAAATGTAGTAAAACAGAGAAATATTGAAACATTCATGGATGATTTATGCATATTATGTTTGCATATAAAAAAAAAAAAAGATTCCAGCATATTTTTTTTTTTTTTTTAATGAATTTATAACATAATGAAACAAGGATATACAGTTTAGTAACTATTTTCAAATATTAAGTTAAATATTTATTTTGTTCGTAATATCTAAAATAATTAACCGCTTTCGAAATTGTCATTTCATTTCGATTATATAATTTTAATAATCCGATTGCAATATTATGCTATTTATACTACAGCAAAAACATAATTTAAGTGATACCACGTAATTTCAATATTTATTTTTAGTAAAGACATAAAATAATTGTATTCATTTTTTTTTTTTATTGAACTTAAAAAAACATCAACAGCAAAGGTTATTATTTTTTGTCTTTAATACATATTACGTGGTATCTATAACTAAAATTATACAATTAATACGTTGTTAATTTTACGTAATTACTACTAACATTAATATTATAGTTATCATCAACAGAAGGTTTAAATTTTATTGTAAAGGTCGGTATTTCTTAGGAAAGTTAACATATTTGAGATGTTTTCAGTGCCTAGTCCTAATGCTTCATATATGTTGTGTGGGATGTTGAATTTTCTAAGTTCGTCGGAGTGTTAGTAGTAATATGTTATTATGTATCTTACTGTTAGAGTAATCCCACAGATTGTGCATTGGGTGGGCTCTTCTTTGAACATAAGAAACTTATGAGTCAGCCTTATGTGGCCTATTTGAAGGTGATTAATTATGATTTTTTCTCTTCTGTTGAGATTCGGGTTTAGTCAGTTTAGAGTAGTGTTTTTAAAATCTCTGAGTTTGGTCCGTTGTTTCAACCAATTCTTTTGCTATTTTATTTGAGAAATTGTTTTTAATGTGGGTTTTGATGTCTCCATATGTAACGATATATTTTTTATTAATTTAAACCTAGAAAATTATTAATTTACTATTATTTTATTAAAAACAAGTAAAGTATATTTTTAAAATTATAAAATTTATGACATACTATATAAAATAATATTTTTATTTAGCTTATTATAATATTATATGTTTTAAAAAATTGTATAAAAAATAATAGATATACGTGTTACCGTGAAATTAAGATATTATGTAATGAAAAGACATGGATAAACAATTTTGATAATATTTCTGTATATTCTAGACATTATATTGATAAATAATTATATTGTACGATGTTTAGTCTATTCTACAATAATGAAATTAAGACATTAATAAAAACGTTTTGATCTTTAACCTTATTAGTGAATTATTATACATAATTTGTATACAAATGTATGTTTTTATTTTAAATACTTTTTTTAAGCAATATAAAATAAATGCAATTTAGTAATTTGGTAATGAAATGGTTTACCAATCTTCTATACATGAATAGATTAAGTTAAAGGTAGATAATTATCACCTTACGCTTAAGAATTTAATGAAATAAAAAATAGTGAAAAAAAATAATATTTGATTCTTACTTTTATATTTATGATAGACAATTTATATATAAAATTGTATTGATATGAAAATTATTATTGATTATTAAATAGTCCTTAACATAATCATTTAAAAAATTAGCTGCTTTATAAATAATAATATATTTTTTTGCATAAAACATTCATTTTGAATAATTTATTTTAATATAACATTTAATATTTTCTTATTTTCTTTATATACAGCCTTTAAATAACAAAAAAAAAAAATAAAATAAATAATTACAAAGAAATATCAATATATTTTTATAGTAAATTTACATGAATTTTATTAAGTTATTAACAATTAAAATATTTTAATTAGTATTGTGTTTATTATTAAGTACACATTTTCATAAATTGATACTATTTTAATACGTATGTTGATCAATATATTGATGAGTATACAATATTCATAGTATTTTTTGGAAATAATTTTGTTTAAGCTACAAAATTTAAAAACAATTATCAGTTGATGTACAATATTTGCTTTATGCATATATATTTATTTTATTTAATATTATAATCGAACATCAAATCTAAATATTTAACTTTTATAACTCTATTAATTTTAAAATAACTAAAATTTCCTGAATTAATATTATAACTATAAACTGTTGATTCCTAAAGTAATATAAAATATGTCATGCATTTTGTCACCGTAGAATATTTTATTTAGTCATTCATTTAGCTTACTTATTAAATATTAGTTTATCTTTTAACATTTCAGTAAAAACTGCTTACGATAAAATATAATATTTTTATTATATACATAAATTTTATTCAAATAATTCAAGATGAACATTATTAATTATTTTTTTTTTTTGCTTATGAATATTTTATATTTTATATCGTAATATTTTTTTGTACTTATGTTGATAAAATAAAACAAAGATCGTTAATTTCAAGTGTTTATTTAACATTAACTAACTGTAAATCAACAATATAATTAAAGATCGTACATTTTTTTTTTTTTATTTTATGTATCATATTATTGCTAACAATATTATAAAACAACGATAGTTAAAATGCACAAATATGTAATTCGTTAAAATATTTACAAGAATTATATTTTAACAATATCATCCTAATCTTATAATATTATATTGTAATTTAAAACATATATTCTGTAAAACATCCAAATTCGAAAAATGAATTGAGTTATTGAATTATAAAATAAAGCATATAATTTTTTAAGAACATTATTTTAATTTTATTTATCTGA